GTCTGCGTGCTGAGAACCTATTATTTTTTAGGCCATTTAAACACATTCAGTCGACTTCCAGTGCTGTAACAGGGTGAGAGAGTTCAAAGAGGTTCAATATAATCTTTGCAGGCTGGAGTTGGTTCCGAAAGAAAATATTCCCAAACCCTAAAGTCACTGTGGCAGTATCATTACCCTATACTTGCAGTAGCATTTTCCCTCAATTACCTCCCTGCTATCACATTTATCCTGTTGCAGTAACCATCACGAGAGTCGGAGACTGAGAAGACTACACTTTTTTTCCTTAGGTTTTTGGGTTGTGTTACCGTTTTCCCTTAAGCACCGGGAACGACCAACTATAGTTGAAATGTCTTGAAAGAATAGAAAGCTGGACAAGTTTGCTCCCCATGAGAATGATTCGATTTCGAGCAAACAATGGCAGCCTTATTTTTATGCAAAAGAAATATCAGACTAGTAGCCAAGCAAATCACCTGGTTCCACAGACTTTTGACGTGCTGGAATAATTCATTTAATCTACTGCTGTGCACATATGGCCAGGTTATATTTTACCGCTTTCCTAAGGTTTACGTTCAAGAGAAAGCAACTCTTTGCAGCTGCTGTAATATCCCGGCTTTCTCTTTTTTTCTTTCATCCAGACTTTTTCTATTTTAAACACCTGAGCGTGAGCCCTCCTGCATCCAAACAGTGAAATAAAGCCGGAGCTGTACAGCAGCGAGGTGATGGGATATTTCCCTTGCGAGTTGCTTTCTGGATACCTGCCTGCTTGGGTTGTCCTCCAGTTACTCAATCCATCAGTAGTTCGTATTATACAGCCAATAAATCATACTCAATCTACTGTGGGATGAGGTGAAATCCCCCCACATAAATCTGCTATTAGTTTTACCTTGCACACAAAATATAGAACTAACTGACTGTGGATACATGAGAACGGTGTAATAACTATAAATATTTTTCAACTAACCAGGCCGTTTCAGAGAGGAAGTATAGAACCATGCAATCCACAGCGGAAGGGGAAAGTGTATGGTGGAATTCTCAAGGTTAATCTGGTCCAAAATAAGCAGGCTCTTGTACAGAAGTGATACCCGACCCTCGTCCAGGAGTGCCTGGTGTGAGGGTCTGCCTTAGACTGATCCCTTGATTATTCCTCAGACTCTGCTGAATAATTTGCTAATCCACACTCGCTCAATTACACAGCAGATATCAGTTGGAAATGCAACCTTTAACCTATGCATGTCAAAGGAAGACCCCTTTTGTGGGGGTGAATGTTTTATTTTAGGTTTTGGGAGGTTTTGGGTGATAAAACAATAGAAGCAGTGCCCAAAAAGACAGTATTTTACCACTTAAGCAATAATACTTTGAGTTTGATAAACAAGAAGTCAATATTGAGTAACTTGCTTTCCACAATTCCTTATTTTATTTTATTTTATTTTTATTCCCAGCAGAATTAACCGTTGTGCAACCATTATGAAACCAATATGAAACTGGCAGAAAGAATCACTACAAATCCACACCGCTGGCGTCTGTTGACCAGTAAGCTAATTATCTTAAAGGCTTTTTTAATATAAATCTTTAAAAAAAAAGGTGTATTTTGTGATTATTGAATGTAGCCTAAATGATAGTAGTTTCGTTGATATGTTCGTATTGTGATCGAGCAGCTTATTCTTGCTATGGTTACCTCATTATGCAAAAATGTTTGCAAGCAGCAGGTAAAAATAGACACGAACTAAATTCATATATACATAATATTTAATTATTATTTATTTCTTTAACATTTATAAACAATGTATTTCTACCTGTCGACAAATTCCGGTTATAATATAGGCTTCTTTGGAATATTAATGTGAAACGTTTCTCAACACACACACAATTCACACGGGGGAACTGAACTGATACACAACAAGTCGCACACTTACACAGTTCTTTAAGTCAGGGAAGATGATAAATCTCCGAGCCGTCGCCATAACAACGGCCCTCCATCTCCTATACTTGACTTCAATGTTTTAATGGGAGCCTTTGTCACATATTACCAGTCTTTTTATTCCCCCTTTCCTCTTCTCAAGCCGCAAAAGTTCCTTTTCTGTTCCTATTTTATGTGCAAGTGATCTCAATTAAGGACCTCCATGAAGGCTAGAGGCGGCAGACAGTCATGCCAATGAGAGCAAAAAGGAAATTGTCTTTATAGCCTGCCGCTACCACCACCACCCCCCTAAAACCAGCCCCCACTTCTCCATCACCACCACCACAGGCCCCCCACTCCACTTTCCATAACGAACACAGCGCACTTCCAAAAAAATCATTGTGTTCCTGAAATTTGCAACTATAACACGGGCCCAGTTTGCTCTCCGAGCCAGTTCTTATGCCTCTCTGGCAACCCAAAGTCCTGAAGGTCTCGTTTGCAGTGCTGATGTCACGATCCAGTCAATGACAAAATGGCAATTATGGGCTCAGATTAAATCTGGGGGTTGAAAGGATGTTGAGAAGGTCTTCCTGATGAGGTAAGGCTATGAATTCTGTGTAATTATTGTCGAAAAATCCTATCATATTAATGTGACAACTTACCCCTTATAGTGTGACAACATATACCCAGCTTTCGGGGCATGTTGTCACAAAAGGTCAACATGCCTTTCTTGGGCTATAATAGTGGAAATGTTCAATAGCTTTATTTATTTATTTATTTATTTTTTTTGTAGTCAAGTCTTTAAGGTATGTGCCTGTATACAGAAATGTATGGAAAAATATTCACTAGATTAAAACTTGCATATTAGTATATATAGATTTAGATTAAAAGAAATCAGTATAATTCCAAATATAATCTGCATTTTCTTTATTTTGTGGACACTATCTGAAAAAAAAAGAAAACACACACACACAAGTTCATGTGTGTGAAGTTCATGTATGGTTTAATTTCTGCACATGCCATTTCTCCATTGCCATTGTGCATAGAAAAAAGTGCCTACTAATTTAATAATGTCCTTTCTGTGACCCATTTCAAGGAAAACATAAAAATGATATATTTTCTCCTAATGCAGTAATTGAATCTATTCAGAACCACAAGAGGCAATTTATCCCGTTTCCATTCAGATATTATAAGTGATAACAGTCACGCAGTTTTAAACTTTCACAGGCAAAGTTACAGACTGAAGATATAAATGCTCACTGAACTGTAGCTGCAGAATGACTTCAGTTGAAATGTTATGATGTGATCAGGACATCACGTGTTCGAGTGGCATCAGTGTAATGATTGCATGATGCTGGAACTATATGAACCACAAAAAAGAGAAATCCCTGTCTTCAAAGACCAACCACATTGGAAGCAACAAACATGTCGCCTCCTGAGATCTTTTCATCCTTTAAGCCTAATTTGATCCTGCGCTCTCCAGGGAAGCGCGATTACACTGATCCTACACACCAGAGACAAAATATCACCTTATATGTATTATATCGATGCTAATGTGACTGATATTGTTTATATGCAATGAAATCCGACCGACTGTAAGTCTTTATCCGCACTGGATACGATTGCGTGCCAGCGCGCTCTAGTGCCGTTGGAAACACCTTCGTTTTCTGAATTATTTTTTGACGGTTTGTCTAATCTGTTATGAAAAGATCTATAAAATCTTAAAATCCTTTCGGAGAGCTGACCAAACCTTACAAATTCTCCTTGTGGCTGTGAATTAAGCGCCTTTTAATACAGGAAACGTAGTTAATGACGACTGCGCGCAAAGCGCCAATTGAAGTCTGCTTGAGTGTGTGGTGTGTGTAACCCGCAGCACTTCCCAAACCCATCAGACTGCAGCGCTGAGCGCGCGGAGAGGGACTGACGGTGCTCCATATACGCCAACAGAGGACATATACGTTCGTCTTTGGCTAATTTAGACTGTTGTGATGCGCATTCCCGTAGATCCCAGCGCCGGCCGGAGGTTCAGTCCGCCGGTGTCGGTGAAGATGAATGATGTGAACCCGAGCGCAGGGCAGCAGCAGGACAGCGCGGTGGTGCCAAGACTCCGCGCGCAAGAGAACCGCTCCATGGCCGAGATCATCGCCGACCACCCCGCAGAACTGGTGCGGACCGACAGTCCAAACTTTCTCTGCTCGGTTTTGCCTTCTCATTGCAGCGCTAACCGGTTATAGATAAGGTTTTATGACCAGTAAGTTTCTCTATATATATATATATATATATATATATATATATCAACTTTTTGTATATGTGTATATATATACATGCGATTTTGGACACAGCTGAATATTTATTGTTGGCTCTGCCTGGGGAATGGGGAAAAGTAGTTTAACATTTAAAGATTTACACACTTCACCTTTACATCTTGTTTAACAATTTTGTTTAAAGCTTGTACACTCCAAAAAAAAAGATGAAATGGCAACAGGAATCTTTTTGATTCTTTGATTCGTAAAGCTTCATGATTTTTGACACTTGAGGTTTCTTTGATTTTTAGAAGATTCCAGGTCACAATGACATGCTATACTGTATATTGTGCAAATTATTTTTACATTACGAGAGCCATTTGGTCGTATTTAATTATATTTTATGATTCCAAGTCATATAAAATCAGTGTCAGCAGATCTGTGCTGCTGTGTGGTGCTGAGATTCCACGCGTCTTGCCAGCTGTTTCCCAAAGTTGCCAAAGTATTCCACCCACTACTTCCTGTCTCCAGCAAACCAGGGGCATTCATGAGTAGGAACCATTGGAGCGTCATGTTAATCCCTTGTTCCCCTGTGTTAAACCACCAGAGAGCACAAATTGTCTGGAAACAGTGTTTAGGGAAGTGAGCTGTCTAGATTGTAGCAGTGCACAATTTCCCAGCAGCCCACTGATATCTGTTCTGAGAACATTAAAATAAAACAAAAAACTAGTACAAAAAGTATGCTGAAATCATTATCGCTAATAGTAAAATCTTGAAACGTCCCCTGAATTATAAGCTCAAAGTGCTCAGTTTTGCTTTGACAGTGAGTAAAGTCCTTAAATGTTTCTGTGTTTGCACAGGGAAGAGCTTCAGCCTGACGATTACAGTATTCACAAACCCACCGCAAGTGGCCACTTACCACAGAGCCATTAAGGTCACGGTGGACGGACCGCGGGAGCCCAGGAGTGAGTACACCTTATATTACATACTGCTGTGATTAACCACATCCATGAGGCCTGTCATCACGTTCACCTCTCTGTTGGGCCGCAATCGGACCTCATCAAAGGCTTGCGGTCATTCGGTGCATGTGCTAGTGATTGATTTATAATTTTTTTTATTTCTGCCTCAATCTGATGTCATGAAATCATTGCCTGAAGTAATTCTCTCTGGGTAGGCAGACTGATGACTTTCATTTTGCTTTGAACAGATTGGAGGTTTCGGGATTGCTGTTACCATATAGAAGTATAAGTATAGCAATAATTTTTTAGTTTTATGTTTAAAAATATGGATAAAAGTTGAATCATTCTGACAACTCACTTCCTCACTGAACCGTTAGTCTGACTCGCTCACTGAAATGCAGGTCAAAATGTCCTACGTAAAATGAGTTGAGATCCATTACTGTGATGTGAGTTTTAGGGTTTGTGAAACTGCCATCGATCTATTCTGACCATGTTTATGTGGCATCTGTTATGTAGTTATAGATACATAAACACAACAGAGGTTTGTCGTGACAAACAAACTTTTAAAGTCATCATGAATCAAAACTGACCATATTTTATTTTAACTTTTTATATTCTTATTAATATTTCAGTTAAATATGTAAGAAATGTCACTTATTAGTAGTACTAGTAGTAGTAGTAGTAGTTAAATTGTAAATACATTTTTCGATTTTTAAAACTTTTTATATAGAGTATTTTATTCAATGATACTTTTTCCATAATATGTAAATTAAATATGTAATATGTGCAATAGCCAAAAATACATTGTATGGGTCAAAATGATTGATTTTTTATAATATAAAAAATTATAAAAATCATTAGGATATTAAGTATCCATGAAGATATTTTGTAAATGTCCTACTGTAAATATATCAAAACCTAATTTTTGATTAATAATATGCATTGCTAAGAACTTCATTTGGACAACTTTAAAGGCGATTTTCTCAATATTTGTTTTTTTTGCACCCTCAGATTCCAGATTTTCAAATAGTTGTATCTCAGCCAAATATTGTCCTATTCTAACAAACCATACATCAATGGAAATCTCAATTTCGAAAAATTGACCCTTATGACTGGTTTTATGGTCCAGTGTCACATATATATATATATATATAATTTTTTGTTTGTTTGTTTTTTTACATAAAATTCCATAATTTAGGAGTGGCCCACTGCAAAAGCAAAGTCATGTTGGAAACATTGTGTGCACTGACAGAGTTAATTTTGACTTCAAGTTGACTATAGAGAATTTACACTTTTTTCATAACAAGCTGTCTGTCTGAGCGCTAGGTTAGTGTCTGCACAGAGGTTCTACCGTGGTAACATTGTGCTTGCATCAGCTTGTTTTAATGGCACTTATAAAAGAGCGAAAAAATCTACTACATCTCGCAGTGCCAACTGGTCTGGCAAGCAGCTGTTTTACTTTATTATGAAAAAATATATACTTTCATCTTGGCGTAGAAATCAAGCCTATCACATCCCTAACAACATTTCTGCCTCTCTTTTTCTCTCTGACTATAATCTGACTCTCAGACTATTCTCAATGAACACATATGGTACTAGTATTTAGAGGCACTTAGACACAACGGCTGAATATGGTCTTGATTCTTCATTGTATTACAATGGCCTCTAGCAACTACAGGCCTCGTCTTTGATGTTGAAGACTTCCTCTATTCCTGCCTTATCTATAAGTGAAGTTTTGAAAGGCTTGCAGGCCGTGTTATTGTGCGTATGAACAGATGAAAGGGTCAGAGTACCGAGGTCTTTTGTGGGGGGCTTTTTTGTGCTGCTGATTTGATATTATAAAGCTCCTGTCTCGGCTCCGTCTTAAATATTCTTCTGCTTTTACAATATGCTCTCAGATTGCAATTAAGAATGCCACGTCTGTGATACACCAAAAGATTTCACAAGCTTACTGCATATATTGCGTAGTTTTAATATTTTCTTTAAAAATGTTTAAACATATTATTATTAATGTTTCATTTCATATTTAAGTATTATTTAAATAATATTGAAATAATTATTTATTATTATTATTCATATTTAAAATATACAATTATTGTTTTTCTATAATATTAAATATTTTATATAGGACATTGCACTATAACATGGATTAAATGTGCACTGACAAAATAAATACACTTATTTTGACTTCAAGTTGACTTGGAAAAACAATTTGTTTATAAAATATGGTTATTTCTAATCCAGTTGTGTGTAAAAATGTCCTAACTTTGGCAGTTTGTTCAAAATGAGTCATGTTCAAAATTGTGGTTTAAAAATTGTCGATGATGCCACTTCCAGTTCATTCATCACACTGGAAATGGAAGTTCAAGTGCATTGCATTGTGGGATTCAGTATTCAATGCAGTGCTCTATGGTTGCATACTGAAATTGCATACTAACATACATACTGTTGTTACTATTGTTGCAGTATATATATGTACACTATTACTACTATAGTTCATATTTTTATTTTTTATATTTTCCATTTTAAATTTTAGTAATTTTGTTGTTGTTGTTGTTGTTGTTGTTGTTTATTTTATTTAAGTATGTCTCTATAGTTCCTATTAAGTTTTACTTTATTTATTGTAGTACTTACAGTTTAATTTAAATAAATTGAGAATTGATGCAGCTAGTGTAAATAAAATACATTTTAATTTTAGTTTTAGTTAACTGTAATAACCATGTGCTGTGCATAATATACCAATTTTCTTTATGCATGCCAGAGAATAACTGTATGAATACCTACTACATTTACCATAATGCAAGGCACTGAACTTGACCTTCCCTTACTAGCCACATTTGTTAACATAACAGCATGCAACATGATGAGGTCATGTGACCAGCATAGTGCCATCACATGAGAACAATGTAGCTGTGAAATTTTGTACTTTCTTTCACCAAATATAGTAGGTAATATGACAGTATAGATACAATTCAAATGTCAACGTCTTGAAGCAACTACAGGATCTTTGCAGGTGTTTGGACACATTCTGAACACTAACTGCAATTAAAACGAGTCTCAAAGCATGGCATCAATTAAGCAGAGACAAGGGAGAAATAAATGAACAGAGTCCTGGTCAAACATCACCTGCGCTCTGAGCACGTGCACATGTCCATGTGTTCACTGACACTGATCGTTATGGGACTAATTACACGTGCCCTCTTAATATTTTCACTTTTTTTTCACCCTGATTTTATCGAAGAACGGCTCATTTACAATTCTGCCTCATTAAACCTCAAATTGGTGTTAATGAGCAGGTAATTAAGGAAGAGGCCCGTCTCGCATGTTCAGACAATGCCTACAGTGTGCTGTCAGCCAAACACCTGATGGAACATCTCTGTTTTTATATATTTTGAGAATCATAGAAATAACTGTAACATGTTTTTGTACATAAAATGATTCGTTTTTCAGTCAAAATATCCTCATTAGGTCCAGTACGGGTGGCTGTAATGTTCATTTGGGTCGTGTTTTTCTTCGTCCACCACACAGGCCTCATTCTGAGGGTGATATCCAGTACAGGAAGTGTATTAATGTGTTTGTGTATTTAATAGATCTTGATGGGTGCCATATGAACTGTGAATCAATAGGGCCAGGAAAGCGCTAGACAACGAGAGCGTTGAGTATTTGACTTCTCTCAGTGAGTTTCTTCTTGATTGGCTCACACGTGAGGCGTTCTGGTAGCCAGAAGTGCTCAGTAAGTCCAAACAGCTGTTTTTTGTCGCAGTTGTATCATAAAGGCCCGTTCACACCAAGAACGATAACTATAAAGATAACTATATTAGCGTCCACACCAGCGGACGATATCGTCTGTTTATTCTAAGCGCACGCTCGTCTGCCGCTTTAAATTATCGAGCGATTCTGATTGGGTGTCAGTGTTTTTAGCGTTCATCAGCTGGAAAAAATCGTGAATTCCAACGATATCATTTCTCTGTGTCTTTATCGTTATAGCTGTGGTGTGGACTCTGCTACTCTTTAATATTGAGAACGATTTTTACAACTACATCTTTATCGTTATTTTTATAGTTATATAGTCCTTGGTGTGAACAGGCCTTAACAGTGCTCTCGTAACAGTTTCATTGAATTATGGAGAGAGTTTTTTGTTATTTTAAACGTTGTTGCAAGAAAGTCTTGGGTATGTCGTAGCTACTTGTTGCTAAATGGCTGCTATTCTGTAAGCTGACAAACATCTGAATGAAGTTAACAATACTGTATAACACATACACAAAGAACTGTACAGTTTTTAAGATGCTAGGTGGATGTTTCAACCTCTTTTTTAAATTAATTTACTAGACACCTTTGTATTTGATTTCTTCCCTTTTTACATAAAATAACTGCACTAATAAAAATAAAACAATTTATAAAGATAACTGTTTAAAAGTAAGCAGGTAAGATTTTTGTATTTTTAAAAGAAGAAGTTTGTTATTTTCCAAGGCTGCATCTATTTCATCAAAAATACAATAAAAACAGTAATACTGTGAAATATTATTACAAATTTAAAATAACTGTTATTTTAATTTAAAAAAAATATAATTTATTCCTGTGATGGCAAAGCTAAATATTCAGAAGCAATTATTCATTAAACAGATGTTCTTATTCTCAGTGTTTTCAAGATTAGAAATTATGCTTAGAAAGTTATTCCAAAAAAATCATACTCACCTGAAATTTTAAACGGTAGTGTATATATTCATATCACACAATAAAATATATAGGTAAATGGTCATTTGGTGTTTTTTTTGTTTGTTTGTTTGTTTTAAAGTATCAATATATCCTATAATTAAAGTCATTTCTGTTTCATCAACTGATATATTTATACATTTGGAACTATGGATTATATTTAATGACATAAATATCATTAATTTACCCTTCAATATTGTGCTAAAACATAGAACATGCATTAATTTCTCGTCAACACATGAAACACATTTAAATAAAAAATAAAAATATTATAAAAATATTATTGATACCAC